TCAGTTGAAATAAGTTCAGTGTCGTGTTGAACTGAAACTCTTCTATTTTATTAAACAAGGTGTTGTCCTACAGAAATACTCACTGTAAAAAATAATACTTCTATAAATACGGTAATAATAATAAATGACTTGGTTACACGTCAGGTTTTATTTCTCGTGTCTGTGTTGAGAGCAGATTTATTTCTGTCCAGTCGCTGGTGTTTTCCCTGCTGCCTGCCTCCGCACAGGAAGTGACGTCACATGATGTGGGCAGGTAGCCATGACAACAGGCCTGCTGATGATGACATGTTTCCACTCTTGACACACACACACACACACACACACACACACACACACACACACACACACACACACCTCTTGCCTCTATAGCATCCATTGTTTCTTCTGCTGTGTGTGTGTATATGTGTGTATATGTGTTTGTGTGTGTGTGTATATGTGTGTATATGTGTATATGTGTGTGTGTGTGTGTATATGTGTGTGTGTGTGTGTGTATATGTGTGTGTGTTTGGTGCACTGATTGATTAACGAGCTGCTGATCTGACTGTGTGGTTGAGATTAGTAGCAGTGACGTCGGCTGCAGCAGATCTGAGGTCAGACTCTGTTTCACCTGTCGTTTAGATTTTCCATCGTTTGAATTAAAGATCACGAGTCAACACGTTTACATCTGTGTTTCACAAACTGCAACAAAATGAATACGTTTAAAACACGGGCAGATGTCAGCTGATGATGTGTGAGACACTGAAGTCCTCACATGTTCCTCACATGTTCTCACGTGTTCCTCACATGTTCCTCACATGTTCTGCAGGTTCTGTATGTGAGAACAAATGTCTGAGTCAGTGTCTCTGGACATGTTCTGGATCTTCTCCTGCAGCCTCTAGTGAAACATCTGTAAAATGTCAGAGTGAGTCCTTGAGAGAAAACATCTGGAACCTTCTCAGTGAGCGAGACACTTCCTGTCTCTCTGTCGTCTGTGGACAGGTCACTTCCTGTCTCTCTGTCGTCTGTGGACAGGTCACTTCCTGTCTCTGAATCATTTTCTCGGACTCTCGTTGTCGGCTCGTCGTGTGAGTCTCAGCTCTCTGGTTCGTCACTTTGCTCACAGCTCAGAAGCTGCAGGTTAAAATTGTCTGTGTGAACACAGAAGGCAAAGAAATCTCCCAGAAACCACCTCTCTCTGTAGTCACACTTGTTCGGATTGAATGAAATCAGAGCGTCCGGGTGTTTTCAAATCTTAACTCAGCTGCGTCTTCCTCTCGTCTCAGGTGATTCTTCCAGAGCAGCAGGTGGACTTCAACTCCCAGAATGCCTGAGCAGAGTAACGACTACCAGGTGGTGGTGTTTGGAGCCGGTGGCGTGGGCAAGAGCTCGCTGGTCCTTCGATTTGTTAAAGGCACCTTCAGAGACACCTACATTCCCACCGTGGAGGACACGTACAGACAGGTCGCTCATCCAGACTCTTCTGATTCTCGTGTTGACGTTCAGACGTTTTCACTGTTTCAACGTGTTTCTTCTCTTGATGCTGATTTATTGATGGACTGTTCTCAGGTAATCAGCTGTGATAAGAGCGTCTGCACGCTGCAGATCACCGACACAACAGGAAGTCACCAGTTTCCCGCCATGCAGCGCCTGTCCATCTCCAAAGGCCACGCCTTCATCCTGGTCTACTCCATCACCAGCCGCCAATCACTGGAGGAGCTGAAACCCATCTACCAGCAGGTGTGGTCTTGCAGCTCCTTTACTCCGACGTTAGCGTCGTTCAAGAGACTTTTTACTCCCGACTGTCTTAACTCTGTGTCTCTGCAGGTTGTGGCCATCAAGGGCAGCGTGGAGTCCATCCCCATCATGCTCGTGGGCAACAAGAGCGATGAGACGGCCCAGCGAGAGGTGGAGACAAAGGAGGGCGAGGCTCAGGCCGCCGCCTGGAAGTGTGCCTTCATGGAGACGTCGGCCAAGATGAACTCCAACGTGAAGGAACTGTTCCAGGAGCTGCTGACGCTGGAGAAGAAGAGGGACATGAGTCTGAGCATCGACGGCAAACGATCGGGGAAACAGAAACGAGCCGACAAGCTGAAGGGAAAGTGCAGCGTCATGTAGAGCGGACGGCGGAGGACTCGCTGTAACCGCATGGAAACAGCAGGAGTCTCAACAGCTCTTCTTCTTCGTTGGTGTCTGAGCACTGAAGCCCAGAGGAACAAAAAGATGAGAATCAAACCGGAACATTTCTACCGGGGCCCTGGGGCACTGGGGCCCCTTGTGGCCCTGAACTGTGATTATGGCCCCAAAATATTGTTTTACATGTTGAGCTCCTGCCACTAACGAAACTGTAATAAAGGAACATTCCACCTGAATGTCACTCACTTAAACTAATGTCTTAACTTCCAAGTCCTGTTTGCTGGGAGGGAGTGTGTGTTTGTTTGTCGATCAATAAATCAATAAATCAGTCCAGAAACCAGGGGCCCGTCATCCACCAGGGGCCCGTCATCCACCAGGGGGCCTATCA